TTGATTCATCAAACGGGAAATCGTAAAGTACCTGTTTCACAACCTCGGCGCCAGCCTTGAGAGCATCCCGCTGTGATACTTGACTACACAAACGGAGTATGTCAAAAGTGTACTCTCTTAAGAACAAAGAATGACAAATATTTCGTTACTGTTCAATAAGAAGCAACAAATTTCAAAAAATAATGCTCAGCTGATTACAAAGTTGCAGAGGTGGAAATACCTGGAAAGCTGATATGTGGTTCCTCTCACAAAATGGAGCCGCTCAATCGGGACATTCAGTGCCATCAAGAGAGCCTTTATTATGTGTTCGTAATAGATAACACGATTTTCAAGTAACTCCCATGTGCTCTTCATGTTGTCGAGGAAAGCGTGTAGATCAGCAAACAATACGGTCACATAAAAATGAATGTTTAGGAAAAGGGAAAAAGAAAAAAGACAACATCGGTACCTTTAGGCCAGCCTGTAGAAAATCAGCGATTTTGCGCATTGGCACAAAGTACCCAACGTGAGGTTTACCGGTCGTTGCTGTGCCCCAATATACATGTACGACCTTTCCATCTGTTGACAACTGCTTTTCCAACTTGTCCACACCGAGCGCCTCCTCAAAAGCAAAAGAAGTTTAAAAAATGCTAAACGAAAGTAAATTGCTTATGCACAATAAAAAAANAAAAAAAGTAGTTGAACCACTGGTAATCAGCATAGCTTGTAATAGGATAAATAGTAAAAGTATAATAATATATATAAAGGTTGAGTCACAACGCAGATGCCTCACTATTATCGAACAAGATACAAGGTGGTGAGGAAAATGGCTCGGAATTCCATTGATATCCAACAAAATTCAGAAAAAAGCAGCTCAATTACTAATATCTTAAGACAGTGACCTTTGTATAATACGGTTTCTATGCTTATCCGGCAAAGGCTTCGACATAGGGTGATCGGTTTAACAAAAACAAATGAATTGAGTTCAGGCAAGGAATTTCATTAACACACTCATAAGCTGGCGTCCATCACGAAGACAATCACAGAGTGGTTAACTGGGGAAGTAAATACGGCTTGTGAAGAGGAGTCAACATTTTTGAGGAATCAGAGGAATGGTATCCACTGCTTGGGGACGGAAGACTTGGCTGACCAATATGGAGGTCAACAGAATGTTTCAAGCACTATGCTTCTGACCCCTTTTCACTCAACTGTTGGGGATAAAAGATGAAGTGTTTGGGCGGTAACCAATCCCGTTTGAAGGGATGCGCCCGCTCATTCAATTTCACTCAGAATCATAAGGCGGTTTCGAATGAAAATATGGCCTATACAATGACTTGCAGTTGCCAGTCGATGAACAAATCAGTGCCTTTATCCTCCCAAACGAGCCTGGTACCAGTTAACCCCGGAGGGACGGAAGACTTGATTGGCCTGGGTGGATATCGATTCGGGAGTCGAACCCGTGACCATGCGTGTGTGACAGTGCGACACTTGGCACTACACTACCTCCGCCCTTAACTCAACTATATATGTTAATCAATTTAATTTAATTTTAAGTCCGCTCAGGGCTCAATAAATGGTCATAACAGGATAAATGGTGATAACAAGAAGAGCTCTGAGTCAAAAATGGTTTAGCAAGAGTAACGAAAGTATTCGCTCAGATTAAGATGTAAGAAACATGGAAAACAGTTACAAATGAACCCGTACCTGCAAGTTTCTTAATATCAAACTCTTCCGCTTCTGAGCCTCCTCGGACAATTGTACGTCACCCATCCTGAAAAGGAATATACAAACAGTATTTGCTGTTAGCTACGAAAACACGTTCCTGTAATTAAATGCCTGCGACTATTCGGAAAAGCAAAAAGATTCAGAGGAATGACAGAAAAACTAATGCAATGTATCAACCCTTCGGAGATCGGGTGCATGCAGGACTCTCCTATATTTCGAAACTGTCCACGTTTTTTTTCCGTAACTCGAACACCCGAAAACACCCCAGTATTTCGTAATTTTAAGGTACGCTTAACTCCTTCCCACCACAGCTGACAGAGTTTACTATACGATGAAGAACCAGACTCACTAATGGAGATATTGAAACCTTTCAGGTCAGCGAAGCTGAGCTGTAGGGCCCACTAAATCATGAAAATGGGTCGGAGCTAGAAGATATAGACGAACGTTCACCAGTGGTTCGTGCGGTTGCGGAATAATTGACGGCAACTGCAATTTCGGATACTGTATTACACGGGAGGCCCCCGTTTGGCATGGGTGCGATGGGGTATGGGTACATTCGTGCGATTCGTACCGCGCTCAGCAAGTTGTGCAGCGAAATTCATGGCAATTCAAACGACTCTGGTGCCTTTTATTGGGGCACAGACTTGAAGTAGAATAGTTAGGTATGGTCAGCTGATCGTACTAATCTACTCTTCTTAAAGTTTGTCTCCCAATAATAGGCGTCAGAATCGTTCGAATCGCCACGAATTTCGCGGCACGCAGTCCGAATCGCACGATTGTTCCGTCCCCTGGTGTGATGCAGTGGGATCGAAATTGTCGCGTCGCGGCGAAAGGGGCGCCGCGCGCGAAGGGGTGTGGCAGATTGCAGCAGCAGGTGAGGAATACAGGAACAAAAGAACTTACAGTTGAACTAACAGTGCCTAAAATAATGATTGCATATCGAATGAGCTGTATAAAGAACGCTAGAGTAGTAATAGCGGCGAAGTGAATGGTTCGCGACAGCCTCCCGTTTGGCGCGGCCCTTCGCAGCAACACAATTTCGCCTCCGATATCTAGGCAGAATCTGTTTTGAATTTCAACAACTGCTAGGGGGTGTAGCCTTTATTGTAGGATTGTCAGACTTCAACGTGTATACAACACCACCACTATCAATGTACATACTTTCTCCGTGCGGCTATTACCTGATAATAATATTACAATTTCGTCACGGACGAACAAAACGAAATTATTGTATGATCTTGAGTTCCTCGACCCTAAACGAGATCAGCGAAGACTTCGAATATAGGCTTATATTGGCATGCACAGAGTACCGAAGATTGATCTTAGAATACCACGGGCTGAAGGTTGTAGCCGGTCAAAATGACCCAGGCACATATCCCGTCTCCACGACCCGTGAAATACGAAGATTAGAAATATATATAACTGGCACTGAGTGTTATGTCCTCGTCGTGTTGAGTGGAAGCTTTATTCGAAGGCATGAGACGAGACAAAAGTGAATGCGACCATACTCATGAGAGTTTATATAGGCAATGTGTTTATGTGAACATGATGTACTATCACTCTTACAGTAAACACAAATATACTGTAGTTCATTTTATGAGGAAGGTACAGTGCATTCGGCCTGCCCCAACACTCAGACTCACGAACAGCTAGGAATACCTTTGGCTCTTCCTGGTAAGTCATAAATATGTACAGGGTAAAACGATAAACTCACAGTAACATGGAACCCTTGTGGGCAAAATTAATAGGCACCACTATTTGTACAATGTCACCTACGAATCAATAGACCGTTATAGGCGATAACAGACACAAGAATAAGGGTGGTCCACTTAAAACATTAACAAGTGACAGAAATGGATTACATTATGAAACTCCGATTGACTTCCTGTCCTGGCGAAAGGCCGCTGAGATGTCGTGGTGCTTCAAATCGATCGAACCTGTACCGAAAATACTTTAAAGAGTCGAACCCGATCTCAGAGGGGAGACGGTTCTATATAGCTAAAGCTCTGGAGTGACTACCATCTGCCCACCAACATTATTTTCCCCTAATCGCTTTCTTTCCTAATGGCACGAGTGGGCGCTCCCCTCTGAAGGAGAGGGAAGTGAGCCTTTTGCGGGAGGCCCTCCCTATGTTACCCAGCCTTTTTGCCAGGAAATCCATTGACTTCATCCTGAGCTCGCCACGTAAGAGAAATTTATGTGGTAGGAGGGGCCCAGGGGCCTTCTAGTGTGCAAAACTGCTGTCAAATCTAGAGCGGTTTCTTGTAGGTCCCATTGTAATGCCACCGTGGCTCCTTGCCCCGCTTGATCGGTCTTGGATTTCTTAACTGAACTCCACCAGAGACCCTGGTAGAGGAAGTCCCCGAACTGAAGCAATAGAACTTCCCCAGTTCTGAGAAAAACCGAAAAGTAGAGCAAAACGCTCGTGGCCGCGCCAATGAACTCCTCTGAACTGGATCCTAACCCCATTCCCAGAATAAGATCGACGTCCCTTCTTGAAGCCTTGGTTCTGTGCTTAAGGGGTCACCTAATTCTGCTAGCTGCTCTGAGTAAAGCCTTTGTATGTCTGCGTCGTCCGCCGGGAAGGGCCCGAAAAACTGCGCCAGGGCCTCCACGTGATGCCCCAATAACGATCCTTCCCTGAATTGATTAAGTGGGCCATGAAAATATTTCTGAGCTTCGCCGACTCGGAAGCGGGTTCTTGGTGGTGCTGGCATGCTCGAAAAGCGGGACTTGGCACTTTCATAAGTCTTCAGGGTCACTAAAGCCACCGACTTTCCAATGCACGATTGTATGATTCATGCCACTTCTCTCGGACCACGGTCCTCCGCTAAGCAAGCGGTTACTGAGGCCGCCGGGAGACGGCAGGCTGGTGCTGCGGGAATTTTTAAGTAAAGCCTTCTGAGCTAACACTTTATACCTTCTGCTTCCCCCTCGATCTTGGCCGCTTCCCGCCCATAAGGCGGGAAGAGGCGCCGCGGCGAGCGTCACAGCAGATGGGCACCCACCCAGCGGGGCATTCCAATTCGTCCACGACGAGGAGTGGACTGTGCGCCTCCGTGATTTTTAAGAAGGATACAAGAGAACTGCGTTGACAAGCTCGCTCCGCCGTGGTCTTCATCGTTGCGTGGTGCCCTATGATGCTATCTGACGCGATCCGGCACAACAACCATCGTGACACTGCACCTCAATACGACCCTGCATAATTCCTAGAACACAAAGCTTAAATAATGTTGGCAGAGGTTAATGTTGGCAATCAGTTTTTAGTTATTGTTAAGCCTGTTGAGATATACTATAGTATACACCAAAAAATAAAGAAAGTAAAAGTGTTACTAGAGTCCATCGGACTCTAGTAAAGAGTATGTTAAAGATGGAACTCTCTTACTACATAACAAAACATAAATGAATTAAGCGGCTTTATGCCTATTAACAAAGCAAAACGATAAACTCAACTATAATCCTACGGTACCTCACCTCACTAGGGGTCATCGATGCGCGTCAACACACCTGCTCATGCGCGATGGCGTTAGCCGGGGAACGTTCGGCACGTCCAGTTACCATCCGCAACGGAGCAGAGATTCTCACTCCATCCACTCTCACGACGATCGTGGGGGTTCCGAGTTTTACAAACCACGGGCTGCGCACCGAGGGCTGTCCGGAGAATCGAGAGCTGCGCAGAGGGAAAAGGGGTTCGTCACCACTAAAGAGTAAATCTCACCCTGGCTGCGTGAAAAGATCCTCGTCACATCGTCGGTCCTCGACGTATGCTGCGCGTAATCAGTCCTCGTAAATATCTCAGAATAGTTAGAACAAACAATGAACGACGGAACTGCGGACGACAATGGCTGCTCTCATAGTCCGCCGGCCGGCCGGCGTGCCGGCG